TGTAATTTATCATTGCGTATGCTAGTATTATGTGCGCGTATTTGGGAGAAAGAAAACGCTTTGAAGTTTGCAGGGTTGAGTGAAATGCTCATTTTTGCCAGCGCTGGTTTAGCATAGCTTTGCCATCCTTGAGTAACAAAAATCCTAATACTAGTTATAATAGTCACGCTGGTGACAGAGGCCTGATAAAGGTTCATATCCATTCCTCCTCTTGCAGTTATCAAAACTCGAAATATGAGCGTGACCATCTTTAATATTCTTGTGCCTGACGCAGACGGGTTATGATTAGTGAGCTATACACTTTTAAAAACTATTTTCTTGACTCAGCACAAAGCTCTTATATAATACGAACTGACTCAGATTCGGAAGGTTATCGCAGAAGGTTGTAAGAATACGAGTTGAGTCCCTGTGCCGGAATTGAAGTGTTTGTGAATATTGTATATTAATATAGTTGATTCTGGTATGGATTTCAAACTCTCCATCATGTGTCCGTGATGGCAAAAAAATAATAGATGTTAACAGTAAGCACCGTGCTTTGAGGGGGTTTATAAAGCTGGAAACAAAAGAAATCAAACAGTTGTTTGTTGCACACGAACCCATTTCCCCCACCTACGACATCTACGAGTCCTCGTTCATTTTAATATTTTTATTATTAGTAACTAGCGGAGCTATAAGCCCGTTTTCTATAAAAACTTTACACAGGAATCGCAATTATAAATACATAAGTGAATACACAACGCAGCTGGTGTTCCAAATTCTACAGATAAACCAAGTTTTTCTCCAAGGTGAAGAATTCTTTATAATTTGAGGAGACACAGGATTTCGGACTCCCGATTGCTGGAGTTAGGAAGCCCTGGCGCGCAGCCTGTGATCGGATCATTTCGGCTGCTGACAATAATGACTCCCTGGCAAGCTGGAATACCGATGGTTTCTTTGATACATTAAAAAAAAAAACATTTGAGCGACTAATGCAGCCAAACATTTTTGCTTTCAAAAAGTTAAATTAATTTGAGTGGCTATATTGCATTTATGGCATACGTTCATTTCTTGGCAACTACTACCCATAACATAAGAAACAAGCAAGAACTCACCAATAGTATATCCAGGAATTTTTCAGCGGATTAATCTTCGTAAAAAGAGTGATCTTTTGCGGCAACACTCCGGTTCGTTGACCTTTTTGACTATATCTTTGCACATTAACACTGGTCACTGGGAAGCGCGCTAATATACAGTATATATATATATGTATGTATTTTAAGCATAACGTCATTTTTTGAAAATCATCCATTATTTTACACAAAAGGCCTCACCGGCTGTCTAACTTGCACGATAGCGTCCCCCCCGAAAGTGACCATTTTCAGGTGATAACACAAATCCGTTCGAAAGGACGCGCAGTCCTCACCTCTCTCTGATGAATCCAGCTGCCCCCCACACATCCACATCGCCGGTTCAGCGACGCCTGTGTCAGAAGTAACTTTAGACACGATTGCCAAGGTCTCTGGAACGGAGGTAAAAGAACTTGGCAGGACTGAAACTAAGAGGCAGTTAAATCACTTAACGATACACACCAAGGCATGGTGTGGACAACACAACCACACACTACGTTTGCCCCAGTGACTTGGGCGAAACAGAAAACAATCTTGCAACACTGCAAAGGCGATGCTTGGACTTCTAGTGTTGCTATTGATATTGAATACAGAGACAGGTCGAGTCCTTTTTACGTGGCGACAGCTGGTAGCCTGCTCTGTTCCTGCTCCTTAGAGATGTGGAAAAAAATGTAAGGCAATCTATTCCGGACGTAGAGTTTATGAGAAAATTACTCGGTCATATAAGAGAGAAGATGGCTAATCCTAACTCCTTTACATTGGTGAAATCCAGGAAAATGAATGTCGTAACTGGAGGGAAACTTGACCACAGATTAAATAGGGATAAATAACGCAAGAGATTCAATCAGACGTGGGCAGATGTTGAGGTAATTGTGAAATGAAATGGATATGGATCTGAAATGTTCAAAACACAAGCAGCCACGGATCCACATTCTTGTAGGATTTAATTGGACGCATTCAAGAATAACGAAGCGAAGCCACCGGTATTTGTTGTAGAAAGAATAGTGATTCTTTAATTGGTTTGCAACACATTTGTTGCTCATAACTTTGTGACAAACGACAGCATTTTTACAGTATTCAGAACAAGCCCCCCGTTGCGTCCCCTACCTTAGCAAAGATCTGCCACAGCTGAGCCTCATCTGGGTTATTGAGGGCTGTCCTCACGTTCAAATGACATCATACAGCAATTACTTTCCCTTTCTATTCAAGGGGTCTGCGTCCCTTTGAATTTCAGAACAGCCGAGTTGTAAGTCGGAACAAAATTACAAAACGAGAAGTGTTTTAGATATTAACCGTATATTGCCCAGCAGCTATTGAAATGACACGTCTGTGTGGAAATAGAAACAGTAGATGTTCACCAATATCGCAGAAGTTATTTTCTACGTTCAACTTAAAAAAAAAACCCGTAAAAGCACGCGATTGACCAGTTATAATTCGAGCATACGTTGACGTTGATACACCAATCCCTTTTAGAAATCAGACTGGATACCCAGACATTTTCTTCAATGGCCAAACGAAAACATTTTTTACTTTGAACTTATGAACTGGACGTATGAAGTTTTTCTTTATAAATTAAAAAATGCTTTCAAACAGACGAAGCACAGACCAAAGCAAAAAAAAAAAAACACCGCATTGTTTCCCTTGATTTGTTTATAGACACTTCACTGGGTTTCAAGTGACTTCTTAAGCCTTCGTTCACCCCTCCCCAAGAAGACAGCACAGCTGCAAACCAGGGTCGGCAGACCAGCTAAGGCACTTCGAGGACGGCCTCTGGGTACAAAAGAGGCGGTGAGGACAGCCCCGATTTCATTTAACGACGACAAGAACAACAAAACCCGAAACGCTCTCCGCGGACGCCTGGGCGCTCCAGTCAGTGGCTGGGAGCGGCGGCGGCGGCCGAGTCCTCTTTGTCCCTGAGCGGCTTCTTGCAGGTGAGCATGAGCAGCAGTAACATGGGCAGGTGCCAGAGGCTGCAGAAGAAGAGCCGGCGCGCACTGCCGCGGCTGGCCTCCCGGTGGAAGCGGAACCCGAGGTAGCTGATGTAGAGGTTGATGGGCAGCGACACGACGGGGAAGGCCCAGGTGGTGACGTCCAGGGCGGGGGCCAGGGCGGACAGGCCGACCAGCGCCAGGGCGTGCCGCAGCGCCACCCGGCGGCACAGGCCCGGGTGGGTGACGGACATCATGCGGTAGCCGCCTCGGGAGTAGTCCTCCCGCAGGTTCCAGCTGAGCGCGTTGAAGTGGGGGAACTGCCAGGAATACAGGAACCCTCCCAGCAGCAACGCACCTGGGAACAGGAAGACAAGCCCCAGCCAGAGTCAGGCCAATTGTCTGCATTGTTTCTTCAGTCAGCACATTGATCAACATTTTGGCGATTTTTGTTTTATCTTTACACTCTAAATTTACACTTGCCAACTGTTTCTTGTATTTTCTGTGCAGCTATCAGCTCCCCTTACAGACGCAAATCCTGCACCACAGGGGGAGAATATGGACCTCTTCTGATTCACTGTGAGCTCCGTGGAGCCCTACAGGAGAGTTGGCCACCGATTGGAGGAGTGGCATCTCACTAAGATCACTTCAAGGTTATGGGCCACCCACTCCCTGGAGTCACTGTGGTGCAGCAAACTGAGCGGTCATGATTTGTGGATGATTTGTGGCTATCCAATCCCAGGGTGCAGCAGCATTGTGAGGGGGAATCGGGTCAGGTCCAGTGGTCACAGAGGTCAGATACACTCTGAACAAACACATTTATGTAACTGGAGTATTAGCAAATAAACAGTCTGCTTTCCTCCTCCAGCAAGTGGAAATAAAAAAAAAACTGAAAATACAGAAATACAGAAAAGAAAGCGGATGTCTTCTTTTCCTGGTGTGCTCCAATTATGCCAGAACACCCTGGTTACTTAATTCTGTTTTTTTTTGCCAAGATTTAAAGAGAAACCAGGAGTTCCAATGCATGTCAACGACAAGAATGCAGCATTTTATTAGAGTATTAACAACGTTGTAGTTTGGATTCAAAAACAGACATGTGACTCTTGAGTTTCCGAACTTGTAATCCACGTCACCTAACAGATGTGTGCATGGTAACTATGTACAGTTTGAGAAATAACTTTAATGGAGCTCTTCCTTTACCCCTTGTCTCCTTGAGACCTTTTCAAGGGTCGGACTCGGGGTTTGTGGTGCAGGCCAGCGTGTGTGAAATTAGTGCTGGGCGATAATTCGATAACGATAATTATCACAATATAATTTTCCGCAATATCATTTTAACAAAAGTTCGATAAATGTTCGATATATATGTTTATGCTCTGCGCATGATATGCGCATGCGCACAAAATACTGCACGAGTGTGCATGCGTGTTGCAGACTGGGCTGCTAACGTGGTGGTGTTTACCCACACAGTGGTGGCTGATAGGATTGTAGTTAAGAGTGGAGAAATGAGCGACACTGAAGCAAATGTAGTGCTGCCAACGACCAGCTCGAAGGACGATGACATCGGTGACAGAAAAGGTCATTCAACTTCGGTAATTTGGAGATATTTTGGCTTTTTACGATCAGACCTAAAACAGAGCACTTTAAACTTTGCAGTCTGTCTGAGCCATCTTCTATGTGTGTTTTATCACAGTGCAGTATTTAATTTTTCTATTAAGATATTTATTTTGTAAATTTTACTCATGCATATTTTGACATAAAAAAAGACTTGAATACTCTCTACCTCAGATTTGTTCAATGTTTCTGCTGTTTGGCAAGTGTTTGTTGTGTTCTTAAAATAAAGAGTTGTTTAATTGACCAATTAACTGTCTGGTTTCTTCAACTTTCAGTCAGGAGAAAAAATCTGCCTTTAAACTTGAAAGAAATAATGATTTGACATGTATCGTGATAATTATCGATATCGACCAATATGAAATTTTTTATCGTGATAATGTTTTTGGCCATATCACCCAGCCCTATGTGAAATGCGTGGTAAAGGGCTGAATTTTTTTTTTTAAACGATCCACAACTTTCCGTCCCTCCATTTTCCAAACATCATCACGGCAACGGCCGGCGCCGGACACACCCCAAACCCCGAGCCCGGCGTGGCCTCTGCGGTAGGGTTCGCAAAGCGTCTACCGGCGCCTGCAAATTCCTCAGGCCGCTAACCAGGCAGGAAGAAGCCATAAAAGGATGGAAACCGTCTCGTGTTTCACATCCTGTATATACAGCAAACAGAAGAGGTGCTACAGGGATAGGGATGGATTCTAAAACAATGCTGCCAGAAAACCATACAAATCCAGCAGTTTAAATTTGACAGATGGCAAACACGGGCTTTTATCTTGTTTGTTCCCCTTGGGCTATGTAAGTCCATAAATCCCTAAAAAATACGGACGCAGGAAGTATTGGCACAACTTCAGCATGTATGGAAGAAAGGCAATTCTCAAGCATCTACTTGCACCAATAAGAGTGTTTGGGGAAACTCAATGAATGCCACTAATCAACTGTTAATCAATTACAGGCTAGGGATATTTTAAGTAATATGTGATATTACTTTCAAGGTATGAAGCCACAGAGAGGGGTAAAAGAATATATATAATACTTCATAACCACCAGCTCTCAGTGTCATCGAGGATTTGAAGATTCTCTTAATTTTCAGGAAAACACAGAATGAGAGCACGTGTACTTGAGTTTGATACAAGCCCAGCCACTGCTCTGCTTCATAAACGCAAGGCAAAGGCAACACCACCTCAATCTGCACTCTGATTATTTTGGCTGAAGAGCTACAATTATTTTTAACTTTCCGTTCTGCTGATATGAATGTAGCTCTGTTGATATGAATGTAGCTCTGTTGGTAATGATTTTATAATTTCAGAATTACACTGTATTTGCTTGGAATAGTCTAGATTACTATGTAAAAAAACAACACTCTTATCTCTCTACATGTTTAGATGTCCAAAAATAGGACCATTCAAGATCAGAATCTATTTAATAAACTTGTGTTTGCCTGCTCTTCAGATGACTGGTGACAGACAAACAGTGAATTCGCAGTCACCATAACATCTACTTGAATTTTTTACAGGGAATAACCTCTTGCATTCCTTCTTCCAGGCCCACTTGCTTCTTTGAACCTAATAAAGGCAATAAATTAAAGGAGTTGCTCAACTATTTAGAAACATAAGACAGTAAATTAAGTAATGTTTAATCAGAACTAGGCTTTGATCAGCTCTTTTCCTGCTACACTGGTATCGAGAGATTCCAAGGCCCTGGGATTTTTTTCCTCATGTTCTGTTTCTGTGCAAGATCCAAGCGCCCCTTAATCAGCCTGTGTGAGAGTGAAGGCAAAATGAAGCACTGCAATTAGGGGGGTTTCCCAAGGTGGCCAATTAGAATTTCCCAACAGCAATTACTAAAGTGAAGGATATTCACAGCAAAATGAAATGTTTCAGATTAAAATATATGAGCCTACACTTTAAGAAAAATGGCAACACACACAAATCTTTGAGCTCACCATATCTGTATGGGTTATACACCCTGGGATGCATTGCAGATCTGTGATTTAGAAACTACTAATCTTTCTTGCATTAAAGCCATGAAGGTAATGCTTTGCATTACCCATGCAGCTGAGCACTGTCAGTGCAGGGAAGAGCAGACGCCACCTCCTGTCATTAACTTCCTTTCATTGTACGAGTGGATGGCGAGGATCATGGCTTGTCTACTGAGACACTGCTGGGTGGGAGGTTTGGTAAACCATCAGCCCCTGCACTTGTTACCCTCACTGAATGTAGGAAAATCGTTAATGCACGTTTGGATTCTATTTTTAAGGGTCTGTACATCTGCAACGCTCCACCTGTGGCGTGTTGGGAACTCTGACCTACCTGTGTCCAGGGAGCCCGTGGCTGCCGTCCAGCCCATGACGGGAGGGATGGCCCCCACAATCGACCCCACCCAGGTGTTGGAGATGCTCAGCCTCTTCAGGGGGGTGTAGCAGCAGGTGTAGAGGAAGATGTTGAAGGCCCCCAGAGCACCGGTCAGCGGGTTCACGGCCAGGGTGAGCAGGGCGATGCCGGGGATGGCACAGGCGGCCGCGAAGGAAACTGCGTGGAGCGGGCTGAGAGGCACAGCAAGAAGGGGAAGGGAGGTCAGAGCCGGAAGGACGAGGCGACCTAGAGAGAGAGCCGCCGTGCACACGGTACTGTGGCACCCACATGGGCTGGATCTGCTACACATCTCTCCACATTGGTGCTTTCTAAATTTAACAAGCACACACGACTTCGGCAAGAAATGGCAGGATGTTTGGAGAAAAAAAAAAAGTATTGCGCAATTTGTTTAGGTGTTGAGTTTTGACATAGAAAATGTGGCTTGCTTAGCGAGCGGCGGCTTTACACGGAACACAGGCTGATGTGTTTGGCACAGAAACCGCATCCCCACCCCCCCGCTGACATACACACATGAAAAAAAACAAACACTTTGAACATCAACCCCGAAAGTTGTGCATATAAGCAGGCAGTTAATAATTAACACAGCTCTCCGCGTCCTGCAGAGTTCCTGTTGACAGTTGCGAGAGCTCAGCTGGGGCAGATGGGTATCTGGCTCCTCTGCCAGACAGGCCAAGGTGCTGAGGGATGTAACCTCCGAGGCCCCCCGATCCTCTCCCTCCCCCCCAGCAGGGCAGCTACCTCTTTTCTGGCCATGAATAGACCATTGCCAAACCGAGAAGCAGCCGAATCAGCCAGAGCTCACTGGGTGAGCTCAGAGGAAGGGATGCTTTTGCATATCATATGTTTCATTTTTCCCCCAAGGATGACCATTTTTAGATAGAAAACTGAAAAGGCATTTTTACATCAACACAAGTGGTCATTCTGATAAAATAATTGTTACTCCCTCAGAGTACTGTGTTTACACGCACCTAGTAACACATAATTGTACAAGGTGCCTGTGTAATTCTCAGCCAATGTCCGTCAATCATTCTATTTTTTAAACGTCAACAGGAATACTAGTTTGAGAAGAAAAGATAAAAGAAGTCCAGTCTGTTGAAGATTTTAAGACCAAAGTATGTTACAGTGTGACTGAAATGACTTTACCAGGAGTTTAATCAAATTTAGCAATAGCATGTTTGTACTCAGAACTATCGATTGGGTTGGCAAAGTACGAGCCCTGTGTTCAAACATTCTTCTGTGCTTATTCTCATCTTTTGGAATCCCTACTTTTCCGTAAGAATCTTAGGAAATTATGAATGCTATTAGAAAGGTTAGAAATAAAAGAAGTTAGAAGCAGTTAACTGATCCAAGGAATATCATCCAGCTGTTTCTTGAAAGCAGCAGTGGCTGTGGCTCCTACAGCATGGCTGGGTAGCTTACTAAAGGCTCCCACAGCCCTCTGAAATCCGCGATAAAAACAGAATACTTGCAGTGAATGTAAATTCTGAAATAAATTACAGTTCACTCAAATAGAGGCCACTTTTTTAAGCTTTTAAACGGGCTAAACTCCTAGAATGCTGCTACACAATTGCAACAACACAGAAAAGATTTAGATTTAAGTTACAGCATGCGTCTATGCTCATTTCTACTCCTGACTCACTGAGCTGCACAGAGAGGTCATTTATTATCTCATGGCACTACAGTTGTGTAAATAAATAATTACACTCCAAAGCAGCACTCTGTGGACATCTGGCCTCTGAACTGACACAGAATGATGTCTAGAACATAAAGCACTAGAACTAATAGCAAAAAGATATACCACTGGCCAAGCAAGGCCTTGCTGCAACCTGCTTTTGGTCAAGATTCTAATCTCTGTCTATGCTACATATGCTAAGTTAAATGTTTGAGCCAGCCAGCATTCTGTTCCCCTTTACAATCAAAGACTTTATTAGGCTTTGGCCTTTATTCTCTTAACTAAACTGATTTCATTTTGATCTAGCATATACACGCTCTTTGTCATTTTTGGTCACTTTTTTTGCCTTGACAAGAGCTTTCATATTAATCCCCTTAAGCCTTTTAGGCCGCTTGTCATTTTGCTCATAACTTCCTAGGCAGTGGCTAAAGACATTATTCCAACATGCACAGAGCACACAGAGCATGGGGGGTAAGGTATATTGTCTGTGGGATAAGATCATTTATCTTCAAAGCTGGCGCAGTGCTGCAGGCATGCCATAAGCCCAGGATTTAGCTCAACAAAAAAGGTGGTGATTGAGTAGATGATCAGCATCCTTTTGATAAAGCCCAGGAACCCCAATGCTAGTTTACAGACACGCCGGACACACAGGAACACATCCGTCTGTCCAGTGGAAAGTAACTGTTTTAGTCAGAAACCCATTAGGAAGCAGACTATCTGTCGCTTAGATAAAAGGTGGAAAAAAGGAAATGCTACAAATAAGACTAATAGCCAAGTCATAATAATAGGCAAAAGGTAGAAAAAGTGCAGAGATATGGGAATCATGTTTTCAAATTACTAAATTACTAAAATAATTAATTCTGCTGCCCTTATACTCTGTGACTAATGGTTTCCTGCAAGATATGCCTTAAACTACACATGTAAGATCCAGATTTAAGTATTTCTGAATATTCCTTCTGCCGCCGTGTCTATCCAGCCTGCCCCCCTCCTTCTAAGGCATCAGAAAAAAATCTTCCCTTGAAGGAATAAAAAAAAACAACCCGACAAAGGTTTCCCCTGACGAAGACTCCTGCCACCCCTGCCAGCACGACCAAGAAACACTGGACGGCGTCAGCGGCTGGGAGGTCGCAGGTTACAGGGGTCATCGCCGACAGGACTGCCGCCAAAGGGGCCCGGACGTGGGGGCGAGCTGACCGGGTCCGACCTCACTCTCTGACACGCCTCATGCAACCAGACGGGGCTTCCATTGAAGCGAACGCGCCGTGAAACACCACTCGCACTGCAGCATCTGGGCAGCTTCCTAACACCACGGGGGGGCACAGTTCCCACAGATTTATCATACCCCCCCCCAGCAAGCACTGCCTCTCCGCAGCACTCGAAATTCTGCTAGGAAGAAAACAGGTAACGAAAAAGACGAAAAGAACAGCAGCCCAGCAAGGAAGGGGCTTGGTAATGGTATCAGGTGTGCAGGATTATTATTAATAATAATCTGTCTGACAGTTTCTCCCGAAGCAACTTCCTCTGTACAGCTACAACTTTATACAGCTTTGCATTGGTGAGGGTGAAGCTTTGGGCTCAAGCATACAACAGCATGAACCCATACCCTCCGTTACTAAGCCATAGAATCATGGACGGCCCTCATAGAAAGGAATTCCTCTATTGAAATGCGATGACCATTCAAGTTCAGACAGGAGACGTTAACTCCAGGACTGTGTCAAATGACTTAAGTGAGATCGCTTTGCATGGGGAGCTGCAAGCAAAAGCAAACATATAATACAATAAAATAAAAAGCCAAGGTGTTTGCACCAATAAAGCTTTCACCAAATGACAATTCTTGATATTTATGAGAATAAAAACTGCACAAGAATGACTACAGTAACTACAGTACAGAAATACAAAACAATAAAACATTTTACAAACTCTAGTTCAGTATTATTAATGGCTGAAATACAACAATTTGTATCTTTCACAGAAGACCCCTCCCATCAACAATTCTGTTTTACTACCTCTAATTAACTCAATTAATTACTTCTACAGATTCTTGGCAATTCTTGCTATTTATGAGAATAAGAAAAAAACTGCCACGACATTCTTATTTAGAAAACAGGCTCCAATTTAAAAATAGAATAATTCTTGGTTACTGCAAAGAAACGACACGTCTACAGTACAGAAATAAAACACAAACTAATCTGACTTCCAGCTGCTGCAGATCAGGCTACAGGTTAGTCTCTGTCACTTTGGAGATCAACACTGGAAACCCATTTGCTAGGGATTTATTAAGCTTACAGCCACACAATGTTTATAGAAGGCAAACTTACTCACATTTTAAATAATAAACTATTAAGAACAGGACCTATTAAAGAATACTTTTATGACCCTGAGATGTCACAAAACATTTCTCTCGTGCTGTGCAAAGTTGCACAATTACCAACAATGCATGACTTGAAAAATGTTATACTGTGTTTATACTACTTCAGCTGTTGCTGTGGAACTGGAAAATGGTGCACCAAACCTTCTCAAAGCAAATGATTGCTTAAAGTCCAGAAGAGCACAAGTACTGCAGTGGTGTACTAAACAGACAGCCTGTGGCAAAATGTACTTACACAGTGCCATTTGAAAACGGAGATTACTTTACCTTACAGTTAGTGTTATCCATTTTAAATAGCATCTGAAATGAACTGTCACATTTAAAATGGACCGCAAGCACCCTGAGTCCATACAGTGCAGATCTGTCTGAAGGAACTTATCTGCTTCTTCAGCTTGTCCTCATGAGATCTAGCTCTTACACCAGCACATCGATCGAGTACTCTAGAAACTTGCCCTGCCACCTTTTATCAACAAAGTTTTAATAATAAAAAACAAGAACATTTTATTTTTCCAGCAGCAAAACAGCAGCCAAAATTACAGCAGAATTAGGATTTTTTTGGTCCTTTTTTGTTCCCTAAAAACCTGTTTTTTAAAGCGTTATCCACTCCACACAGCGCAGAGGAAGGAAAAGACAGGCCTCTGTGCATCTCGGGTTACACCTGGCAGGTGTGTGAGGCCATGAGGCAGCGCCTACCTGATCTGGCCCCTCACGAGCGGTCTGTTCTTTGTCCGGTTCATGTTGGAATCAAACGGCACCTCAAAGTACTGCAGGCAGAGACAAAAAGACAGAGAGAGAAGACAAATATATCAGAATAAAAGGCAACTTGACAGAGGGCATCAGAGAATCACGCAGCACTGTCTCCTGAGGGGTGTTCAAATACAGAACCAATATTCCAACAGGTCTTTTTAACTTTTTTTACAGGTAGTAATGATACACACCTGATGCACTCAACAGAGAATAAACAGAAATGTGGTCCACACACCGCCTGCAATTACAATACAATGAACTACTCCTGCACAGTACAGTGTAGATCAAAGGCTGAATACAAATTGGTGTTTTTTCTTATAAACATATTTGTAAGGCTACGTGGAAATGGCTTATCAATACAAATATCTAACTGCTGCTCTCACATAATAAGTGGCTTCTTTAACAAACTAAAATTCTCACTTGGAAAACATCAGGCTGTTAGTGGGAAAAAAGTACATATGATGCACAAAATGCCTTTGTTTTATAATCTCCTCTAGGGAATCAGCAATTTAGTCTTCTCTCAGGGTTTGGTAGTTTAAGTAAAACACAAACACATGGGACTATTAAAGACGCGTCTTTTGTAGAAATAAAATATGCCGTGTGCATGTGCGCACGTAATGTAGAAAACAGATACTCTCCTGTATCCAAATAATATCTGGACCCATTACGATGAAATATTACAGACATAAAATAACTAATAAACAGATAATTCACTTTTTTTCTAATTTACTGCATCACTGTGACAACAGAAAGCCTACAGATTTAACAAACGTTTCCTCAGTTCAGCCAACCTTCATATATTCTCAGTTACCTTAAAGAGCAAGCCAGACCGCAGAACTGCTAGGGCAGTGCGTCTTCTGATTCTCCACAAGTGCAAGTCGTTATTTCACCCAGATGAAATCACACTTCCTTTAATTTCAGCACTACCAGAAGGAAAATATGTTTCTGCGTTTAAAGCGAAATCTTAAGTTTTGAACTGACTTTTTTATTATCTTGAGAACAGCACACAATGTAAGGGCTTCTTTCTTTCCAGCAGCATAACTTTTAATGAGAGCTATGTACTGGACATTTTTTTTGAAAAACCGTGCCTCAGTGTTTTTCACCTAGTGACATGCAGTACTTGAACGGGCTTTGCCATTCAGGCAAGATTGCAATTAAAACAAACACGGAACAAAGAAAAATGATTTTGTTTTTTCCTCCCTCCTCCCCACACATTAAACCAGTTGTGGAACTGCAGAAATTTGGGCCCTGCCTGAACATCAGTGGTAACTCTCAGCTACAAATATTTTACCGCCAGTTTCACAGATGTCAAGCATAAACTTTCTGCAGATCTCACCGTAACGTGTCTGCAGTACGTATTATTTTTTATAGCCTGCAATATTTGTGATGCGTACAGTATGTATAGTACAGCTGTTGCTAAAGATCGCTGCTAGGGCAAAGTGTTAATTCTCTTTCCTGGGTAGACTGAACAAAGGGAAAAGCTAAAGAGGCTCTTGAGCTTCAATCGCATGTCTGGCTTATGGTGCAATATGCGTATTCTGGGGTTTGTTCATTTGACAAAACTCCAGAGTGGCTTTATAATTCATTTGGGCCTCCTTTCTGCACATGTCAGAAGTATCATCTACTATTTCACCAAGCAGAAACATGAAAATGCTTACTGGATAAAACCCATAGCATGGCCAGCTGTTTTGCATTTGTGGGTGACAAATTTCTTTCCAGTTTAACAGCCCCCCCCCCAATATACAATGCGTCCTGTAATTAGTGTTCACGGATATGCATCAGGCAAAGTTGTCTGGTGCTTGTTCGTTTTTGTACTTCGTGAAGCACTCATTGGTTCCTCACACCCTCTCTTTAGCAAAGCTCCACCAGAAATCAGTGTCGATTTCCTCACACGCGATGCACAGATCTTCTGTTATCTTCACCCTTTGCATTTTGACCGGCTGCAGTTGTCCTGTAAGTCGCTTTGGATAAAAGCATCTGCCAAACGGAAGAAATGTAAATGTGTCAATATTCTAAATCACTAGCCAAGTGTGGTTACTCTACGTATCGGAAGTCACGTCTCACTGTTATCCGCTGAAGGTCTGCCACCTTTAAATCATGTCTCATCTCTGAAAAAACAAAACGGAGTTGACTTCACCTCCTCCCACACATCCCCACTGCAAGTTACTGCAGTAAGCGGTTTGTGGAGGCCTCATCTCGCTCCGCCATTAGATTACGCACAGATTACGTCACTGAAGAGTTAACACAGACGCGTGCAATACAGAAAAAACTTTACTGTGCCAGTGACCAGTCTGATTTCTCTACATGGTTTATTTAACTCATTTTCATACGATCAACCTCTTTAAAGAAATGTTTTATTTCCTTACGCAGTTGGATAAAGTATTTTTCTATCGCTTCTGTCTCGTACATCATGTGACTTCATTTTGCCCTAAGAAAACTCCCTATATTACTTTCGGTTAGTGAGTTTGATTCACTTACTAAAACTTCACACCACCAAGTTATTTTACAGTCCATTTTTTGTGTCCCGTTGTTGTCCTTTTCAAGTAAAACAAATGCAAATTGCAATACTAACTATTTTCAGTGACAGCTTTCATTTTAAACCTGCAAGACTACAGCTTGACTGAAATCAGGAACAGGCACAGCACTGACAGAAATGGAGGGTCACTGAACAGATTGATTATGTAGGCAGGCAGTAGCAAGAATTTTTAGGAACAGCTGTATATACAGTATATAGTTTTTTCAGAGGAAAGAAGACAGCATTTTTCTACAGGCAGGAGGTAGACATGCAGAGAGGTTTTGGAAACACAAACAGGACATGAGCCATAGGACAAAATATTCTTAACATACTGCAAATATTTGTAGTTAAGATCATCGTCAGGGATAACACTGGAGAGCAGAATAAAACATATGACGCATATGTATTAAAGAGAGCCTAGTTGGCATAAAGAAAGGAAGACATCACCTGCTGGTGCCTAGCACTATGTTTTCCACTGATTCCGAATCAGTGCAAGCAACCCCATTAGTTAGCAAGTCTGCTTCAGTTCTATCAATTCTCTACTGAAACTAAAGCAGAGCAGCTCTACTTCAGCAGGAGACATTCCAGTGCAGCAAACCTGCCTCCTCTGTCAGCACCTGCCTGCCTTGTTCCACCTGGCCACAGCGCAGTCCCGCCCCACCTGCTGGGATCTGCTGTGGCCCAGAGCTCCTAAAGACCACCGTGTGGGTGTAGCATCAGGGGAGGAACAAAGAGTCCAAAAATACCCAAATTATTATTTACTCCACATTGACAGCTGATGTGCCAGATTGTTGCTTTCAGACCCTTTGTGTCCCAAAATTTATTTGGAGTTGACCCCCAACAGTTAATGTTGACAGGCCCAGGTCTGGCCGACAGAAATACCACAGACAGGTGTGGATGCTGTAGTAAGGAGGGAAAAAAAAAGAAAAACAACAACAATGTTTGTTCAGTGGTATTGTGACTAAATAGAGCAGAAAGCAGAAAATGTCACCTTATTTCTTACGCAAATACGGCTGAACAACATGTACATGAGAATTTACCATTTTCTTTTTTGTGTGAGATTTATAGAATTAAGTTTAACTCTCTAGTAGTTAGTATGAAGCTGAAAACACTCTGTTATAAGTTTCCCTGTGGGCACATTGGTTTGTCTTGTTTTGTGTTTTGAATTGAAAATAACATCAGCATTAATAAACTGATCTGCACCAGAGCTAGGAGAATGCAGACAACTGTACTTCTCAAGTGCAGGGGGAAGCTTGATCTCAAGATAACCCCAAAATTTAAACTTTTGATGCCAACTCCTCCTCATTGATTTTGAGTTGTCTGAATATAAAAATTACAAACCAAAGGAAGCCATCTACTCGGTTTAATCAATTGACTAATTGATCCCTGGCTTCCATCCAATCGCTCTTTAAAAGAAGCCACGGGACTGTCGTCTCATGTTTCACTAACCACTAAGCAGAAAACAAATGTAACAGGTCACGTATGAATGTGTTAAAAACTCAGGGGTACCTGGGATTGAAAAGTTAAACAGGATCAACTTCCTTGGGTTTTTGTAGGAAAGCATTCTGGCTTGAGTACATAGACCTGCGCCATCGCTTCGCTTTCGTCCTTTAGAATCAAGAACACACTCTTTATTCCAGAAGCTTTCCTTTTCCAGAAGGTTCTTCCTTCAGTCCAACGTACTGTAGTTGGTTTCTTCATAAAGGACCTTCCATGCAGCTCAGACCTGTGTTAATATGAGGATCAATCCTAGATCAATACTCTAGGATCCACTGCTCATCCCACACACTACTAGTTCATACTTAAACCAGTGTTCTGCAACTTCCACTTTCAGACTTCACACCGTTATATCTTACGAACGAGGGAGAAGGGGTTAATTAAAAGTCTCGTTGTTGGAGATGCAAAACTCCTCTTTTTTAAGAAGAGGAAGTGATGCGAGCCAACACACACACACACAGCGTGTGATTAATAATCTGCCAGCCTGCTGCCCAAGCCACATGGTTGTGCTGTCCAGTCCCAGCTCAGGGTGCTCTCCCCTTTATCATCCGGCCAACTCCTGGGCTGTTTCTCCAAATCCCACCACCTCCCCCATCTCGCTTCAGTTACACACGAAACGCTGCAAGTGATTCAACTTCACTAAAGCTAGCGCACATTTGGACAGGAAAAATCCTGTAAGACAGCCTTATTGCGACCGCTGGGATCATGAACACAGAACTTTCTCGATGTTGTGAAGTTTCGGCGGAGGACCCAGCTGCCCTTGAAGGTGCGCTTGTTGACGGATTTGATTTGGATTGGTCCAAAATTTCACTAGATTGCAAAAAGAAATGGAAACTTAAAGATCAAGTTTTCCTTTGAAACAGTGACTATAATAATTGTTCGGAAAATAAGAAAGGCAGAACTTGAATACCACACCTAGTGTTCAACAACTGTTTTAAAGTCTTCATATGTGAGCTATAAGAAAGAAAGGAAAAACAAACAAGTGGGCTCCTTAATGCACTAAGG